CCTTGCTGCTGGGAATTATTATAATGATAATAAGCATACTTTTGCTCTGCTTAATTCCCCACTAGTTTTTACGTGTGTCTCCTGGGACTAGCCTTGAGCTATTCTACATACACTCCCCCTACCCCTTGGTGAGCCACCAGTCAAATAATCATAAATGTTGATTATGCCCAACCTAACATTTTTAATTGTTTGGCAAAACGATTATGCGTTAGCAACAATACATCTGCCAATCCTTCTAATGTCTTTGAAATTGATAAGAATCCTATCAGATTAAGATTAACTTCTAGGGGGCCTCCCCGGTGGCGCAGTGGTTGAGTGCTGGGTTGCAAAGCTGCCTGAGGCCTCTGAGGCGCCAGTTCGATCCCCGGCTGCTCCCCGGCCACCGGAGGAGGGTCCCACATGGCACGCAGACCTCTCCTGCCGCCTTCTGCCTGCTCTGCTCCTTGCTCTGGCCCTGGTGAATTCTCTCACCCTCCTGCACTTCTGACTGTACCCAGTGCCTTGTATAAATAAATCTTTAAAAAAAAAAGATTAACTTCTAGGGCCTCCCCTGGTGGTGCAGCGATTGAGCTCTGGGCTGAGAAGCTGCCCGCGCCGGTTCGATCCCCGGGCACAGGCGATGGTCCCACATGGCGCACAGACCTCTCCTGCCGCCCACTGCTCCCCTCAGCAGTGTACTTCTTTGTCAGTCTGCCTGTTCTGTTCCCTGTTCTGGCTCTGGTGAATTCTCTCACCCTCCCGTGCTTTTGACTGTACCCAGTGCTTGTATAAATAAATATTTTTTTTAAAGATTCACTTCTAGTAAAATAAAGGATTAATGATCTTCCTTACAAGAGCTCCACTGAACATTTGAAGTTTTTGAATTAATGAACCCCAGTGATTATTTGCTAAAGATATAATACTATATGAAATATCACAAATATCTTGAGAAACATCTCTACATTTATGCCTTTTTCCTGCTTCCAGATTCCAAGAACTCATTCTTATTAAGAGGTAGTCACCTTTCAAAAGTGTTTTTGTCTAAAATATCCTCTAATGATAAAGTTCTTTCTATAATGAGTCCATTTAGTTGTTATTGTACAGATTCTAACAATGTATTCAGATAAGCCCGGTACTGTCAATGTCTATCTTCCAAGAATTTAAGGGAATGTAACTAAAATGAAAGTACCTTGAGGGTAGAGATTATTTATTTCACTGATACAGCCCTTGTTCCTAGATCCATACACACCCACACATTCAATAGACAGTGTTTTAATTTCAATAATTCCAATCACAAATTTTAGGGTAGCTAAAATCACTAACACTTATTGCTAAATAGTGAATCATTGATTACAGAGGTCTGAATCAACATAGTTATGGTCACTACCCATTATTCAAATACTAGTATTTCAATATGGATCCAGGCTTTTATCATGGGAACAAAGGGAGTAGCTATGAGAATCCAGTGATATAAAAGGAGTGGCCTGTTTACAGTTCATGTACTATATAATCTTAATGTTATAAACAGAGAAGAGAAGAAAGAAGTCACCCAGGAAGCTGTAGAGAAACACCATGCTCTGCCTAAGAAGGAATGTATGATATAATCTTTGGGAATTACTTGATTAAACTTATCCAGTGGTAAAGCAGAACATAATAATGAAGTCATCAAGTCATTCATATCATGGCTCAGCTTTCTATCTTTACCAAAAGAGGCTTATAAGAGTGTGTATTCAGCACTAGATTAAGGAGAACATTTCTGAGGCTTGAAGCTGCATTTAAAATAAGTTATTGCTGTTTTCTCTGAAATTATTCCTTTCAAAAAATGGCTGGTGACTGAAACGTGCAAGCAAGGTGAACTTTATATCAAAATGCATATTTCTATAAGAAAACAAATTCAAATCCAAGTCAATCATATGTGATCTATTATGTTTGAAAAATTAAATATAAAATACCACACAGATTTTAATGCACTTTATTTACAAAGGGACATGTTCAAAGAAAGCAGGACATTCGAAGTAAACATCCATTTTAGCAGTCAGGAAGCTTTATAGCTATTGTCAAAGTCAGAAGACTTAAAACAGAACTGTTTTATGTTCAAAGTATAGCAATATTTGATCAATTAGAATTTGTAGAGATGGAAATTAGTTTCTTTTATTTCTGCTACTAAGAAAAATGTGTATGAATTTTTATAATAGAATCTGTCAGTTGTCCTAAGTGCTGACCATCTCACTTAGATTGCTGAGAGCAGTGTGGGGAAATTTTCTTGTCAAAGCATTCATTGTGATAGGGTAGGACTGAAAGACTATTACTAATGTCACAGGCAATGATTAAAAAAAGCTCTAGGTTTAATCCCTTCTGGCTTTATTGAAAGAACTACCAAAGTGACACAGTGTCTTAACCCACAGGCAGATTTATTAGGGTGGAAATCTCTCTTGCTTTGTATTTAATTAGCTTAGTCTGTGGAGGGAACCTGGTAGCAGGGAAATCTCTCACTCTGACACAAAACATTGAACAATGAACCATACTTCAAGCTACTAAAAGAGAGGCAAGGACATTCTAATAAATTAACTACTAAGGAGAAAATATCAGATCATCTCTTTAGAGCAAGAACCTATACCTACCTCTTTATCACCTAATCCAAAATCTTATTGTCCAGTTTTGCTTGAGACAAATAAGTGAGAAAACAGGATAGACTGTGGCATATAGAATTATTATCATTGTAATAACCTGTATCTGAATTGCTACAAAATTTAATTTTGGAAATTTGACCATAAATTAAGTATGTTTATGTCATGACATAATTGAATTACTTGTAACACCAGAAACACAGCAAAACTAAGTATTATATATTGGGTAATATAAAAATTTGATCAAGGAAATATAGGATACTCTTCCCCCAAGATATTCAGAAAGACCTTTTCAAAGATGTCCAGAGCTGACTTTTCTAGTATATGTCACCTTGCATGTGGCACTAAGGACAATCAAGTCCGGTGGGTCTCAAGAGAAATTTTCATCATCTTAAAGAATGAAGACTGCCTAGATTTAGAGTCATCTCCAGAAATAACTTATTGAAGAAAACTAACTTAAGGCAGAGCAGACATTTAGAGGCAAGACCTTTTCCTATGAGATCATCCTGTCCTCATTATGTAAGAAACCCTCTTTTCTCTCCCTGACACCCTATACCCATATCCCACTTATTAACTCAGAATATAAACCCTCAGTCTGTGCCATTTAGTCTAGATTTTACAGTCACATAAGTGATACACATGATTATAATTGTATTTGGTCCTTTTAATCAAGGTGATGTTAAGATTTTTGTTTAACCAGGTTGAAAAGAACCCAGGCTGAAAAGGATAGGGATAATTTCCTCTGTGCCACTATGAAAAAGAAAAAAAATTAAGACTAGTAAATTCTTGGAATTAATTTAAAAAAGTATCAGGACAGTTAAAAAAAGTATCCAATTACAAAGATAATTCAAAAGACTCTATTCAGTGCACACTAGAAAAATCTAAGAGTTTTATTATTATGAGTATAGTGTGGAAATAATTTATTTATCACTAGCCTGGATAGATTTTAAACATCTAAGAAGCAGCCATCATTAAACAGTGAAAAAAGAGCCCAAAAGAATAACAGAATATTAAGAATCAATCTAATAAGAAATGTAAGATTTTAAAAATGTTACCACATATTATTGAGAGAAATTAGATACATGAATAAAATTGCAAAATATAATTGACAAGTTCTGTTTTTGTAAGCTTTAAGTGCAAGTACATAAATATAGCAAAGATGATCTTGAAAAACACCACATTCACAGGACTAGCAGGACCATGTGTCGTGACTTAAGGACATAATTAAGAGTATTGTATTGCACCAAGGACAACAATGAAATCAATGAAGCAGAAAACCCAAACAAAACCAGAAAAAATATCCCAAACTCACACAATAGGGAAAAATCAATTTCAGATGGATTAAAGGACATTTTTGCCCTTTTTTATTAAAGTGACATTGTATTTAAATATTAAATGGACGCATTCTTCACATTAAGTTCAATTTTATCCTTCACCATTCAATTGACGCTTTTACTGATTTACTCCTCCCACCCGCCCGGCCATTCTGTTTGCCACTAATTTGGTCTTACTGTGTAAAGATTATTTTTGTTTTAAGCCCATTTATTGTCTTTCCTTATATACCACTAACAAGGTCTTTAAAGGATAACATTTTGAAATCTTCATAGACAGGATTATGAAAAAAAATATTAAATAGCATAGATAAAAGAAAAAAAAAACCTAAGGTTTGTCCAAATTTTAAGGATTTGCTTTTTTTTTTTCCAAAATATGATTACTATTAAGAGAATGAAGGAAAGTCAAAATGGGAACATTTTGCACTGCATATATCATTAGTCATCAGGATGGTGAAAATAAAAACTGCAATAACAATATATGCCTACCACAATCACTACACTTAAAAAGGCAGAAAATACTTAAGTATTGGCAACATTATGAAGTAACTGGGAAACTAATACTCAGGAAAAAACTGCTGCCATTTTCTACTAAATACTGAATGTCACGAAGAAACTACTAAATATATGTATATAAAATTGTATTTATAACAAATCTCTCTAGGTATAGAATACACCAACAGCAACATCTATAGAAATGTTCAAAACTTTCTGTAACTATTTGTACCAACTCCAAATGCCCACTGTCATTACAAAAAAACACGTATTTCTGCAAGGATAGAAAGGGTTCTGCTCTGTACATACTAACAAAATACTCTAACGACAGGGTAGAGGAACCCCATAATCTCAACATGCAACAAAATGAGTCAGACAAGGCAGTCAAAATTCCACGTGTGTAAGAAAAATCAAACAAATCAACTTGAATAAAATTGAGTTAATTTACCTGTAGATAACAGAGGTGTGTACACAGGAAGAGGATTCCTCAGCACCAGGGTAGGTCTGGCCTCTGAGAACATTCCATTTCCTAATGGTAATACTGATGTGAAATAAACAGTTTGCCTACCTTGAGGACGTGTCGAAGCAGAAGAAACCGAGATGCGGAGAAAAAGGACGAGGCCAAGTTCCCGTCACTCACGACAAAGCTGATGACAAGAACGCTGAGCATGGCCAGGCAGCTCACCACAAGGAATCTTCCAGATCTGTGGTTCCTTCACGTAGCTCCTCCTCTGTGCCTTGTGCCTTCCGATGTGTGTGTAGGCATCTGGTTTTATAAGCCCCTCAGGTGTCTTCCGCTCAACTGAATCCAATGATTGCAGCTACCACGGTGTAATCCAGGGCAGTTGTTAGCACGCGAGTGTTTGGTACCTAGTTGAGGGTTGATTAGAAACTCCTCACACTTACAGCCTTAAAAGTTCAAAGGAGATTTAGTCAAGGGGCGGGGGTCTTGCCTCTTCTGCAAACAACAAAACCGGTCCTCTTGATGCCATAGTCTTTCTGAGTGAGGACACCCCCTATATGCCAGCCTTTAGGTGCAGGTGTGCCCACTTCTACATGCGCGCACGCCCTTAATCAGGTGTCCACAATGAGGCACCTGTGCCAGCGCCCACGCTCCCAAGCACCGCCTGCATTAACACGATCAAGGCCGCAAGTGGCAGCCAGAGGCTAGTGGCTTTAAAAGCCTGATTTATTCCATTTACCGTACAAACAGTATTTGTCTTTTATTTTCTTTTTACTTTAGTTAAATTAAAATTTTAAAAAAGGTTTTGTTCCCTTAATGTAACTTAAAAACCTACATATTTTCTTAAAATTGTTTTGCCTTTTTTGGAAATCAACATTGATGTTTTTTATTGATGCATAATAAATTATTGTTTTGCACATTTCAGATTAACATTAAGGATACATTATATCACTGTCTACAAGCTTATGATAAAATAGTATTTTATTTTAACATTGACAAGTATTTAGAATAGCACCCTAGTCATTTTAATCTGAATAACAGTTTTCTACCAACTTTCTTTGATAACCTATATGTAAGGTGTTTAAGAAATTACAGTTCCTGAGAAATGCATATAGTATAGTAATCTTTTTAATGTATAACATTTTCACAAAGTCCCTCTTTGGGAATCGTGTATGATGCCATGACATCAGCTGTGCGCTTTAAAGTTACTCTTTGAATTGATTAGAAATTTCTTATTTAAACATAATTTCTTAAAGAGCATATTCTGTAAATCTTTACAGACCCCACACATTTTACACCAAATCTCTAGCAGTAGAGTGCCATAAAACATTTTTCAAATATTGTTTTACAGCACTGTATATGTTTGAAAAGTAGCACTCAGCAAGTATATACCACACCTGGCCCACCACAGAAGTACTCCCTCCCCTACCACCTTCCTCCTTGCTAACCACCAGTTTGTTGTCACAGGTTAAAGCTGCTCTTGTTTTGTTTTAAATTGTTTGATTATTGCATTTGATCTTTATATTCCACATGAGAATGAAATTACCTGTTGTTTGTATTTCTCTTCTGACTTATTTCACTTATCACATTTTTCTAATGATAGGAAAGCCTGATATTCTGAGAATTATTTATTGGACTTCCCCAGGCTTCCACAGAACTGTGAAACTTCTCTGTCTCACCCCTTCTCTATTCTTGTTAATTGATTTTGCTGTTACAGTAAAATTATCCAGGTGAATGATATAATGTCCCAAGCTGCACCTTCTCTAGCCAGGATAGTGAGGTTTTATAAGGATTTTCTGGGAGCCCTAACATTTGGCACATTCTTGCATTCACAGTAGCACCATGCTTTCATGACAAATAATAAAATAACCCTATACCTTGCCCCTCCGCTTAGTATGCCAGTTTTTACCCAGATATAATATAGCAAATGTTCAGGAAGGAGGAAAAATATGTATGAGAAGGAAAATTAAGTTATTTGCATAGGAGGAATAATCAGTGAGAGTCACCATAGTTGGGACTTTGTGAAGGGGTGATGATAGGTTGTAGGGTAAAGAAAATGTCAGGCTTTTCTGCCCTTCCGCCATCAGGATAGATGATGGATCCTTGTCCTGAATGCATGCCTGATGGCGGGCACCTGGAATAGGGTGTGGGCATAGGTAGATGGGATTCAGCTGAGTTAAGACTGTGCTTTTAAGGGCGGCGTCACGGGGGGACGCCAGCAGCCCCAGCCAGCAGCAGCAGCACCAGTAGCAGCAGTAAAAGCCGAAGCTGAAAGAAAAGCCGAGAAGCAGCAGAACGAACGCTAGAGAGCCCAGATAGAGTGAAGACTTGCTGGGGGCTGGGAGGCCTGCCAGCCTCCCAGCCCCCCAGCCAGCACCCCTGCCTGCCATATGCCTGGTGAACCCCAAATAAAAGACCTGCAAAAACCACTGAGGACTCTGACTCCTCCTTTACCCGGTCTGCATGGGATCAGAAAACCTGCACTGTGTCCAGTCCAGCCCCTTACATAGGTCATCATAATTCTATTCATGTATTTCTGTCCTTTGTCTTTCAAATACTATCTTTGAAAATGTGTTAAGTATCTATACTTTTTAAAAAATAAATTCCAGTTTTAGTTTAGAATTATACTTGAAATTAATATCTATTTGATGATAATTATTCAATACAAAAATTTCAACTTAGCATTTTACATAAAGAATCGATTTTATCTGATTTTTTGCCAATTCTATTTTTTTTTTTCCTTTTAAACTTTTCTTCTTTTCATTATTAACCACCACAAGGTCGAACTTAAAGAGAAAGTTATGAGACAGCAGATTGATGACTGAGCAGTAAAAAGAGAGGAAATGAAATTCATTTAGTCTGGCATAATCTGAAGTTTAATGAGTTTAATATAAAGATATAAACTTGTGCTTCAGTTCCACTTATACTCTAGTCTTGTCTTCCACAATCTTTAAAACTGATATTTTAGCAAACGTGACCTTCCATTTGTCCAAGAACTTATGGAAGTTTGTTAAATAAATAGATATGTATAACAAGTAAAGATAACTGAATGAATTGACAACTAAATGGAAGGCTAGAAAGCATGAGCTTATATGTATTGAAAGATTACAGTGTAAATGTACTTTAGTCATCTAAATTCATCCTGTTGTGCCAGCATTTGATTGATTAGAATTCTTCATATTAAAACTTTCTTAATAATATCCCATCAGAAAGCATTCTGCTTCAGTTCAGGTAAACAAAGTTTTATTAAACATTCCATTTTTTCTTATATCCTTCTTGGGATTCTTAGCATGTTAATGTAAGTAATTCTTTATATTATTTACCTATTCCTTAAATTATTGCAGTATTTTTCTTCTACATTTCAACTTTTTATCTCTATAGGAAGTGTACAAAAATAAAAACATCCGAAATGCCTCATATCTCTTCTTTTTGATCACTTGAAGGTCTGACAAAATGTTTAAAAGAAATTATTTAGAAGAACTATCAAACCTTTGCTTTGAAAGTTCAAGCTCTCTTTGATATGTGTATAGATCTAAAATGTCCATAAAATCACACTGTAAATGATTCTGTTTGTTATGTTTAGTTGAAAACATGTGCCTATATTTTAAGCTAAGGTAAGAAAAAATGGGTAACATGTTTAATGACTCCATCACATTAAATTTTATAGGGCATAAATAAATAGTTGTTTATAGAACAGGTGATAAAGTGAAAATGTATGTAAGAAATGACTAAAAATGAGCAAGGCAAATGCTATGTCTTCAGTATATCAATTGAGCTAAATCATGTTGCAATAGTACTGGGAGTAACCAAATTATCAAAATATTCAGACACCTCTACCTAGAAAACTCTAGGAACATTTTTTTTTTCATGTTTGTTTTCCTATACATGATGATTTTAAAGTAAAGGAAATTAAAAATATACATGGTATTTGAAAAGACTGAATAAACAACTTTTGTTATATTCTAATAGGAGCAGATGTAGGTTAAACCTCTCTTGATTTTAAAAATTTATTGTGATATATAACTTTCATTCTTATGATGACCTTAAGAATGAGCTAGTAAAATTTCATTATTTTGTCATTTGTTAGAACTAGAATTTTGAAGAATAATCAAATATACAATGATTATTACTTTCATATTATATTCATTGCAACAGTTAATATTTTACCAAGAAATATTTTCAAATTCAAGTATTGAAAAAGGAACAGGTTCCCCTAAATTTTGGTTAGCTGGCAAGAATATTACTTTCATAGACATTTTCTTTAATAGTCTTATTTTTATCGCCACTTTATTTTATTTATGATTGCCATTTTTTTCTGCCTGCCACTGTCATTAAAAATGCTTCTAAAATTGTAACTTTTTCTGCATGTAGTGACTTGATTAAATGTCTTAATAGTTACGAAATTTTATGAATATCATAAAAGTTGAAGAAGGAAACTCATGAAAGGATTTAACATCTCAGTCATAGTTAATAAATTAAAAAGGCAAAATTTATTCTCAGTACCAACTTCAGGTAAAAATAGGCCCTAAAAATATCTAAAGAGCAAATAATAATAATAATAATAATAATAATAATAAAATACTTAAATTTCCAGGGAAAAATTATAACTTGTATAAAAGGTTTTGGAAACAATATTTAGCATTTTCATCATTATTTCCCCAGTATCTACAATGATGCCTGACACATAGCAAACTCAAAAAATATTTTTAGGGCCTCCCCTAGTGGCACAGGCAGTTGAGTGCAGCGCTGTGAATCTGTCCACAGCCTCTGCAGAAGTGATCCCATCCCAGCCCCCCGGCGAGGGTCCCACATGGTGCGGTAGACCTCTCCTTTCGCGTCTGCTGTTCCCCTCAGCAGTGTATTTCGTCAGTCTGCCTGTTCTGTTCCCTGCTCTGTCTCCAATGAATCCTCTCACCCTCCCGCAAATCGGCCTGTAGCCGGGTTCTTGTATAAATAAATAAATAAATCTTTAAAAAAATATATTTTTAAATAAGTTCTGTTTAACAATCTCAAACAGTTTTATCAATACCTCCGGAAGACTATCCACCTGTCAGATTATTTAAAAAAAAAAAAAAGCTATTTTAAGAGACAGAGTATTGTCCCACAGTGACAATTTTATATGGGAGATTGGGGAAATATGATATTACATAAGAACACCATACTATAATATAAAACTAAGTTTTAAAATCAAGTTTTAAAAGAAATGTCTTCATTTGGGTTATCAAATATATAAATATATTTTTACGTAGATTGGCTGCTATATGTTCAAAGATTGATCGCTCAA